AAAAATTTAATTCTAAGATCACTTTACTTGTGAAAGACTATAAATTAATCTGCTTTATAAATTATACATCTTTTATAGTTTCAGCTTACAAATCAAAAACTTGCTATTTGGTCATTTAAGTTGAAAAGAAAGTTAAAGTTTAAAAAATTAATTTTATAGTTCCATCGAGACACAAAAAATTTAAGTGTGAGTATTTTAAATGACGATTTAATTTGTTTTTTAATTTTCAGAAAGCCATCAGGAATTTGCGGCAAAACGAGAACTCGGTACTATAAGGTAGTTTCCGGGTTTTCTCGCTACTTGCTGACTTTCACCTTTTCAAGTGTCTCCTTCCTAAAGTTAACGATTAGGAGACAATAATTTTATGATCTGATTGCTGCGTAGAGAAGCAATGTGAACGACAAAAAAGAACATATTTGCTGCATGTGTGTTACAGATTAGTGCCTGAACTTCCGCAGCATTCTCAAACTTCTACAGATGTCACTGAAACAGCTTTAATTTTTTATGTAAACACTGCATCAGTTTATCAAAAGTTAATTGAAAAAATTCATTAAACAAAAGTTACTTTTTGAATCTGTTTACTATAATATTTATTATAGCCGTTGACAAGGTCCGCAGCTCTTTGAACTGTTGCCCCATTTCGATTTATAGTTGATTTTATCTTAGTATATTCACTCTGCAATTTTTATCTTGAAAAGGTACAATTAGATCTATTTCTTCGAATAAATAGTAATCAATAAAGTTTAACATGAAAAAAAACATATTTTTCTTTCTTATCCGCTTTACCAACCAGCATGTCAAAAAGTAAAACCCTTCTAGAAAAATCTTTGTAAGAGAAAAGGCAAACCTCAAAGTGAACTTGAAGTTTCTGACAATAGTTTTCGAAGGCTTCAAAACCTGTATCACTTAACCACGTTTTAAATTTCGCAGTAATACTAGACGTTGCTCTGCCATACAATTTTTGAAACTCAGCTTGTAATTCAAAAGCGCGTTTCTCGTTCAGCCCCTTTGTGTACTAAAGGAAAGGTTGTCTCACGCCGATAATTGACAGCGAGTAATATAATCTGCGGTCTTTAACTCACTATTGAAAAAAGATTTCAAACACTTATAAAACAGTTAAAAAGTTTTGAACCTCACCATGACGTAGAGTTTTTGTAAGTCTGCATTAGCGTCACCTTCTTCTCGTTGTTTCAAAAACTGAAACTAGCTTTGGTTCAAAACTAAATTTAATGCTTTTTACTTCTTATTATTGTCCTTATTTGACGTCAACTTGTTTAGCTTCAAAAATTTAAAACAAAGCGTTTAATTACTACTTACGAGAATAATTACTACTTTAGCTTTAAAGGTAAATATTTTTTAATTATTAAGTCTGTTTCTAAAAGTTACCTTGGCTATTTCTGTATCATACATTTCTTTGCACTGATGAAAAATTTCTTCGAATAAGACCTCTCCGATTAGCTTTAAAAAAGTAGGTTATTAGGAAATTTAACGTGGCGGTTTTATTTCAAGATTTTAAAATGCTGAAGAAGATATTCAATGTGAGTAACCTCAAACAGTGCTTTTGGTGGTGGTACAGTGTTAGAGTTGAACAAATCTGTGAATGCCTAAACAGAAACAGTCTTAGTCTAAAACCGTTAACAATATTTGAAATGCAGTATGTTTTTTCAGATGAAATCGTAAAGTTTATAACTCACGATGAAAAATTTGAACAATTCTTTGCAGGTCACTTTACAGCCAGCTACCTCCTTCACTTTTAAATATTTGCCAGAAAATAATTCATTTACCAGAGATTCAGTTCTTATCAAGAACTCCTTATCAATAACTGAAAAAAAATGGGAACCGTGGTTAGTTTTTACTAGTAAGTACTGTAAAAAAGAAATACCTATAGAGCTAGTACACTCTTCAGCTTCAGCGACATCACGACCCGGATACGGCATTAAGAAACAGGAAGAGGATTCAAAACACTGTTCTATATTCTTACACGTCTCTTGGATCTCTGGCGATGACTGCTGTAGAATAATTAAACTTTTGAAAGTAAAAAAATTGTAGAATCTTCCTTACATTACTCTGTTTAGAAAGTTTTTTAAAGATTAAATGTAAAAAGGTGCGACGTATACAGTTTTTGAAACTGCCAGTTTCTGGCTACAGTCTAGGTATTAAAACTGTCATTTAACTGATCGAAAGATAACAAACAGATG